AATACTGAGTGATTTCACTTATATAAGGTATCTAAAGTAATCAAATTCACAGAAATAGAGAACAGGTGGAGGGAGAAACAGGGAGTTGTTTTTTAATGAGGCTAGAACTTCAGTCATGCAAGATGAAAATGTTCTAGAGACCCATAGTACAAACAATGTGCATACAGTTAACAATACTGTAGTGTACACTTAAGTAAGTAAGCGAATTTATCTTTCATGTTTTCTACCACAGCAAAAAAATAAATTTTCAAAATGGGCCTAAGAAAGAGCAGATTGCAAAGTATATTGTACGTTTTTAACCTGGAATCATATGGCCCAGCTTTATGTCTTAACTGTGCAACCTTGGGTAAAACTGTTTCTCCTCTCTGGGCCTCATCTATAAAATGGGGACAATAACACCCGCACCTTATGAAGCCTTTGTGAGCATCCAGGAAGATGAAAGGTACAAAGTGTTTGGAAGGGACAGTGGTTAAGACCATAGACTCCTGAGTCAGGCAAACCTGGGTTCAAATCTTGCCTCTGCTGTGTCCTGGCTTCAGTGATGGGCAAGTACATCACTCTGAGCCTCAGGTCCTTTCCTGGTAAATGGAGCTGATAATATGCCAAGCACATATCCCCCAGAGTGATGTGGTAATTCAATGAATAATGTGTATAAAGTTCTTAACACAGTTCAAGGTATTCACAATTATCAGCTCTAAAAAGCTGGATCCACATGAATTCCAGGTAATCTGCTGGTTAGATCGAATCACATGTTTCTCAGAGCAGTGCCAGCTGTTTACAGGTGCCATAAACACTCGAGACTGGTTCCCAGAAGCTCGCAGGCTTAAGGATGTATCTGGAAGCATGATGTAGGTGGCTGGAAACTTGGGTGAGGTTGACATGATCAGTCGCAACGGTGCTATTTTAAAAGCTTCTGGGAACCAGTCACATCTTTTTATGGCAGCTGGGGACAGTAGGCAAAATGCCATTAGCCAACTCTTACCCAAGACAATTAATTTAACTTCCATGAGCCTCTGTTTACTGATCTGTAACAAATAATAGTAATAATTACCTACCTCGTAGGGTTGTAGTAAGGATTAAATAGAACATGCCTGATCTATAAGAGCTTAATGAATGGTGGCTACTGTTAGTCTTACTTCTCTATTCCAGATAGGGTTAGAGGTGCCCCCTCTGGTTCCCAAAACATAACGTCACACTGCATTATAATGGCTGCTGATTTCTCTTTCCTTCTGGATTAGGAATTCCCTTGGTGCAAGGCTTCTTTCTGGCAATTCAACAGTAGGCATCACAGGGCCTCGTACATGGCAAACACTCAAGAAATATTTACTAAATACATACACATGCACACATACACAGAGTCACACAGCCCCTCATCCTTCACATCCAAACCGTCACGCGCCAGTCTCAGCCATTCCCAGCCCTTAGATTCCCTGGGACAGTTAAAACACCATAGTTTAATCATCTCCCTTCTGTGAGTCCTAGTTTTCTCATCTATGAAGAGGGAATACTATCAACATTGACCTCACAGGATAGCCCTGAGGTTAAATGCTAAAGTGTTTGGCATATAGTAGGTGCTCAATAAATGAGTAACCTCCTATTCTGACTCTCCTGTTGCTTGGCAATTGTGCCCCAGGCTGGCCATGCTGGCAATACCCTCTAAAGATTCCCTCATGGAATGGTTTCATTACCATTTCTCCAAGAAGCAGGGGGATTTCAGGGAAATTAAGGGAGCAATTATCCTGAGCTCTGGGGCTCCCCACAGTTGGCAGTTCAAGGAGTCTAGCACCATGCCAGGTACATCTATTGGTGGATGAATGGAGCTGCTTGCCTGGGGAGAGTTCAGGGACAGGGTCTAGGGCCCTAGAGATGGAGGTGGCCCAGTATACCCAAGTTTCCCAAGTTTCCCATGTTCCTTCTCACTGCCGGCCCCACCAACCCCAGTATGTATATTACACTGATTAGACTCAGTCTCTACTCAGCTGGCCTGGGACCTCCTGGTGGAGTTGGGGGACCCCCGGCCTGGCCTGAATCTCTCCCATCTCTCAGATACCCTGTCTGTGAGTCTTGAGTCACCCTTCCCCCTCTGCTTGTTTTCTGGAAGTTGGACAGAGCAGGGAGGAGGGAGTGGGGAGGCATTTCCGCCCCCGGGCTTTCCCCGGCACTGGGCACACCCCTCTGTTATACCAGTAATCACACCAATGGACTATGTCTTCCCTGCCTGGGAGATCCTGAGTCTTGCTGGTACCCTCGTAGGTACCCAGGACCCGGCCTAAGGGAAAATACAGGGTACAGGGCTCAGGCCTGGGGTCACATAGATCCAGATCTGCACCTGGCTCTGCTCTTTCCTTTCTGGTCTTTGGCTCTTGCAGCCTCCTCTCCTTCATTTGCAAAATACTAAGAAAACCTTCCTCGCAGTGTAGTTGTAAGAGCAGAATGAAGCAACTTATGCATGGTTATTGCTCAGTAACTGTGAGCTTCCCAGATTTCTGAAAATGTTGGTTGAACGAATGAACGAGCGAACAAATTGGCCATCCACCAAACCAGCCACAAGCAGGGATAGCTGAACAGAAGCCACAGGAACTGGGATCAGAGGATCTGAACTCAGGCCTCAGCCCTGCCACCCATCAGCCTGAGTGAGTCTCTGCCCAATTCTGAGCCTTGGGCTCTTTATCTGCAAAATGCCACCCTCCAAAGCATTGATGTGAAAGGAAATGAGATCATTGGGAGTGATAAAGGGTTGGTAAACAGTAAACAACTTGATAAGTTGAAGTGGACTTCTTAAACTATATAGGGATCTGCACAGATTTTTTACATGCTTTTCCCATCAGCCAGTGAGCTAACTCCAAACCCAGGCCCTATAGAACAAAAGGGGTGGAAGGAGCTGCTGAGTGGTAGTCTTCCCCCAACATGTTCTCTCTCTGTCACACACTCACACAGCCTGGCTCTGGACCCCCTTGGGCTGAAAGCACAGGGCAGAAGAAGGTACCAACCTCTCAGCTGGTTTAGTTGCTGATCCTGCTTCTGGGAACTGTTACACTGGGCCAGGCCCACCTGCAGGTTGGTCAAGCTCCAGGCACATGTGGACATAGCCAGAGCCAGCTCCCCAGCCCACCCCACACAACCACAGACACACATGCACACACCAGAAGCTTCTCTCCCTTCCCACCATCAGCCAAGGAACCCAACAGTATGGCTGCTCAGAGAGGTGGTTGCACTGGGGACCCAGAATGTGTCCTTCTGGGAACAGGCTCCACTCCCAATCCAGACACATCTCCCATGACCAGTTGAGCCCATAGCTCAGCTGTAGCCCACCCTCTGCCCCCTGAGCCAACCCTTAGTGGGGTGGAGGGACCAGTGTGGAAAAGGAGGGACTGCCACTGAAAAAGAATACCCCCTTCTCGACAAGGCCACGTTCGCAGGCTTGGGGTGGGGAGCAGGAGGTCTCTCCATAAAGCTCTCCCTATAAAAGGACAACAGACAAGATCCTAGGCTCTCATCACAAACTCCCTCCCACTGCAAAACCAGTCAGGAGTGGAAAGTCGGTCCAGGAGGCACAATTTGTCACTAATGCCATAGACCGTGAATACCTCACCCGAACCTTGACTGGACCGATGGGGAAATCCAGCTCAGAGAAGAGAAAGGACTTGCCCAAGGTGCTAACAGTGCTGGGGCAGAGCTGGGACCAGATGCTGGGCCTCCTGCCCTCTGTCTCTTCTTTTTCAAGTACAACATACTACGTATCATCCATGGATTCCACTCATATCCTAAGATCATATCACGCACCAAACTCAAACAAGACAAACTCCTCACGGTACAGCATTTACAGTAAGAATTGCAGTGTCAGTGTTTGTGGTAACACTGGCTCACGTTTGCACAGCATCTGATGACTGACAAAGCAGTGTCCCACCCAGCCTCACCCTTCATCCTCTGCACAAACCCACCAGGTCAGTACTTTAAACCCCAGTCTGCAAAGGAGGAAAGTGAGGTTCCTGAGTTGCCCAAGGCCCCAGCTTTTAAGCAAGAGCTGAAATCAAAACCCTGGGTATCCACCTCCAGCTCAGGGTCACTTCTTCCCCCTCAGAGCAGACTTCTTTCCTTGGCTGCATTGTCAATACCTAAGGGCAGGGATGTATGTCTCTTTCTTTAGCTTCCCCAACACCTGCGTGCACACACACACACACACACACACACACGCACACACACACACACACCAAGCGCCCGCAGCACAGCTGGGTATTCAGTCAGAGCTAAATCAGAGCTGCCTGAAGGCTTGGGAAAGACTCTGCTGGTTCCTTCATTCTTCACAGGTCAGCAAGTGTCTGGACAGCAGCTCCGGTTCCCCAAGCCCATATCAGGACCTGCTGCCAGCAAAGGACAGGAGGTACCAGCCTGTTCCCTGTCCCTGCACCGGGGACCTGATGAGGGAAACTGGTTGTGGGCCAGCTTCCTCAACCCCCAGGAAAACCTAACATCTAGTGAGTTCCTAAATACCCATCCCTGTACCAGACCCTTTACCTTTCCCGACAGTCTTGCTGGGGAAGTGGCATTAGCCTCATTTAAGAACTTAGGAAGCTGAGGTGCCTAGAGGGAGTACAATTTGGCCAAGGTCACATGGCTCGTGAGGTAGATGGCATTCAGCTCCCTGAGATCTAGGTAGCCTCCCTCATCACCACAACCACCTCCCAGTGAGGCCTCTGAGGTCACTTCAGCACTGCCTTGACCTCAGAGAACCAAAAAGGGGAGCTGGATTTCCTGGGTAATTTGGTCACAACAAATTATTTTTAAACATGAGACTCTGGGCCTGAGGAAGATGTGAAAACAGTGTCTTAAAACATACTACTTATCATCCATGGATTCCACTCATATCCTAAGATCATACATATCATGCACCAAACTCAAACAAGACAAACTTGGGCACAGGCTAGGGGCAGGACTTTGGGCTCCTGAGAACATTTTCACATGCCTCCCCCTTGCCCAGCCAGGGCTGGGCGCCCCCTTACCTGGACCGGGAGCAGTGGCTGCAGCTGTGGGATCTAAGTGTCTCCGTTTGCAGACCCAGCCTCTGTGCTGTCTGGAAATTGCAGAAGTGAGGAAACAGAGTTAGCCACTGCCAAGTCACCCCTGGGAGGAAATGCCCCAGGGCCTCTCCACCGGATAGCACAGCCAGCCCCGAGTTGGGTCACCTGGACCCGGGGCACTGCTCAGAGGTTTCTCACAGAGCGAGGGGCAGGGGGTGAGGGCAGCGGCCACCAAGCTCAAGGGCTGGGATGAGAAAGACAAAGGGCAAAGAGAGAGCAAGAAGTGAGAGAGCGTGCACTTGAGAAAGAGCACGAGAGCGAGAGGGGAGAGAGGAGAAAGTCAGGAAGAAATGGGAGATGGAGGGAGGAAGGCCAGAGTATAAACAGTTATATACAGAGAGAGAGAGAGAGAGCACGCGGAGGAACAAGGACACACAACAACCAGGGAGTTAAAAGAGAAAAAGATGAGACTGACAGTGAGTGTGTGTCTGTGGGACCATGAGAGACAAAAAATGAGAGAAAGGGAGAGAAGGAGGAAAGGGGGAAAGGAGAAAAGGGAGGGATGGGAGGGGCTCAGAAGAGCTGCCGTGGCCAGTGGCATGGCTGGACTGGGCTTCCCTGGTGACGCAGGAAGAACCCGTGGGGACAGAATGCTGCAGGCCTGGGGGAAGGAGGATATGTCATAAGACTCTGAACAGAAGTTTGGCAGCAGATGAGTTAGTGGGAATAGTGAGGGTGAATAAGTGTGGGCAACTGAGGGGGTGAACACGGGAGTGTAAGTGTGCGTGAGTGTGAAAGTCAGGTGGGTGGAAGCTTTGCATGTACATAAATCAGGGAGGGACCAGAGCTCCCTGCCTCAGGATCTACTCCATTTACCTACTCATTCACTCACTCAATAAAGGTAAAAGGCGCTGTAGTGGGTGCTATCCCTCAGATATCAGCCAATCCAACACCCTCCTACACACAGAGGGAAACAGGTCCAGACAGGACCAGGGTCCCACAGCAAGGCAGGAACAGAGCAGAACCCAGAGAAGAGGCCCCTGACCCCCACACCAGCACCACGCAGCATCCTGCCCCAGCCATGCTAGGTATCTGGGCTAGCCTCCTCCTGGTGACTGGGACCCCCACTGCTGTCCCTTTGCAAAGCCAAAAATGGATCTGAAAGGACAAACCATCTGTTTGTCCTCAGCCCTGAAGAACTAGAGCCAAACATTTGCCCCTCTCCTACAGCTCCACCTCCATCACGCACAGCAGACACACTCAACTACTGACACATAACTTTTGCAGGCTCACATACACTCAGTGCATGTTATCACTGCAAAGACCCCCCACTCACAATTACATTCCTCCACTCACACACACACAGGAGCCCAAATGTGTTATCCCTTACTCACATTTGCCCAGAGTCACCTCTTCCTCCAGTTCATTCACACACACTGTTCCACATTCACCCACCACACACACTCTCCCAAATCCCTCTATGTGGCCCAGGCCTCCTGCTAGGGGCCCTGAAAAGGCCCAGTTTTGTCATCACCCCTCATCCCCCCTTGGAGGCATTTTGAACTTTGAATGCTCTGAGACACAAGAGAACATGGTCTGTTCATTGCATTTGACCTTCACACCCACTATCCACCTGAAAGCCTAGGTCTGCTCCCCAGTCCAGATCCTCTTTTCTAAAACTGGCTTCACAGTCTGAGGAGCTCTCCACCCACCACACACCAGGTGAGACATCAAGCTTGGAGGGACCTCCAGGATTAACCAGTCTGCATTTGACCACAGACTCCAGGAACACCTGTCTCAAACCTCCTTTTCAGTAGTCCCTTACTTATATCCATGTAGCAACTGAATTCTGGTACTTCTTTGGGATTATCAATAAGCAGAGTGTGTAGGCAGAAATTATTATCAATCTTTTACAATTGAAGAAACTGAGATTGCCTCCTCCTTTCTCTCACACCCACATCCATTCTGTTAGCAAATTCTGTCAGTTCTACTTTAAAACATATCCAGATCTGAATCTAAGCAAGTCTTTCAGAGCTCACCTTCAGTTTGTAGGAAATACAGGAGACACAAGAACAAATGAAAGGACCTTGCAGAGAAGCAATCAGCCAAATCCAGAATGTTGGACAAAGACACTCTACAGGACAACTGTTCTGGCTCCTTCAACAGATCAACCACACGATGAAAAAAACAGGAGGAAGGAGACTGCTCTAGATTAAAAAGAGACTTAAGGAACATAATCAAATATAACCTGTGGATTTCTTTTGGACCCTGAATGGATCAAACCAACTTTAAAAGACATATGTATCAGTTCAGGTCCAGGAAAGAGATGGCACACTGCAAATGGGCATTCTGAGGCAACAAGGACTACTTAAATTGGTGAGGGCAGTATACTAGAAAACCAGAAGGAACCATGTTGTGCCCCAAGGCTACCAACAGGGGGAGCCCTTATACTCTCAAGAGCTGATGAGAGGGAGCAGTTACTGGAACCCTGAGAGGGTAGCCTTCTGGAGAGGGGTGCCTGACAGGAGCTGTGAACTTGGTTGATAAGATGTTGCTGCTCCTCAATGACCTGACAGAGAGGGAACCAGGAAACACCTAAATCACTCATCTTCCACCCTCTGATGTCTTACCAGTGCTTCCCATTGGCTGAGCCCAACCAGTAGTGAGGGAGATGGTTAATGTAGTCCAAATGGCTCCCACAGAGCAGGGTGGAGAAGGGTACAGAGTGGATCTGGAGTGGAAAACAGGAGCTATCCAAGACAGATATACTTGAGAAATCAGAGAGAATTTAATATGGACAGGATTTTAGATGATTTTAAGGAATTACTTTTATTTTTATTAAGTGATAATTGTGGTGTGTTATATGAGAAAATGTCCATATATATGGAAATGTTAGAGATAAAATTACAGGGAATTTCTTTAAAATATTACAGCCAAATAACGATAAAAAGAGAGGAAGGGAACAGAAAGGGAAAAGGAAACGAAGGGATGGGGAGGAGAGAGGAGAAGGAAGGATGGGAGGAAGGAAGAAAATGAAGGAAAGAAGGAGGAAGGAAGAAAGAAAGAGGAAAGAAGAAAATTTATAAGACAATCAGAAATTTGAACACATCATATATTCAATTATATATTAAGGAATTAATATTAACAGTTAATGGTTTCACAGTTATGTTAAAAATAATTCTCATCTTTTATAGATACATAGAATATGTGTACAGATAAAATTATATAATTAGGATTTACTTCAAAACAACACATAACAGCACAAACACATGGAGGCTTAACAACATGCTTCTAAATAATCAAGGGATCAATGACCAAATAAAAACAGAGTCAAGCAATATATGGAGACAAATGAGAACAATAATTCAACACCACAAAATCTGTGGGACGCAGTGAAGGCCGTGCTAAGAGGAAAGTACATTGCAATCCAGGCCTACCTCAGGAAAGAAGAACAATCCCATATGAGCAGTGTAAACTCACAATTAGTGAAACTAGAAAAAGAAGAACAAATGAGGCCCAAAGTCAGTAGAAGGAGGGACATAATAAAGATGAGAGCACAAATAAATAAAATTGAGAAAAATAAAACAATAGAAAGAATCAATGAAAGCAAGAGCTGGTTCTTCAAGAAAATAAACAAAATAGATAAACCCCTGGCCAGACTTATCAAGAAAAAAAGAGAATCTACTCACATAAACAGAATCAGAAATGAGAAAGAAAAAATCACTATGGATACCACAGAAATACAAAGAATTATTAGAGAATACTATGAAAAATTATATGCTAAAAAACTGGATAACCTAGAAGAAATGAACAAGTTTCTAGAAAAATACAACCTTCCAAGGCTGACCAAGGAAGAAACAGAAAATATGAACAAACCAATTATCAGCAATGAAATTGAGTTGGTATTCAAAAACCTACCTAAGAACAAAACTCCTGGACCAGATGGCTTCACCACTCAATTTTATCAAACATTTAGTGAAGACCTAATACCCATCCTCCTTAAAGTTTCCAAAGAGTAGAAGAAGAGAATATACTTCCAAACTCATTCTATGAGGCCAACATCACTCTAATACCAAAACCAGGCAAAGAAACCACAAAAAAAGAAAATTACAGACCAATATCCCTGACGAACATAGATGCAAAAATACTCAACAAAATATTAGCAAACCAAATTAAAAAATACATCAAAAAGATCATCCATCATGATCAAGTGGGATTTATTCCAGGGATGCAAGGATGGTACAACATTCAAAAATTTATCAACATTATCCACAACATCAACAAAAAGGACAAAAACCACATGATCATCTCCATAGATGCTGAAAAAGCATTCAACAAAATTCAACATCCATTTGTGTTAAAATCTATCAACAAAATGGGTAGAGAGGGCAAGTACCTCAACATAATAAAGGCCATATATGACAAACCCACAGCCAACATTATACTTACCAGCGAAAAAGCTGAAAGCTTTTCCTTTAAGATGGGGAATGAGACAAGGATGATCAGTCTTCCCACTTATATACAACATAGAACTGGAGTTCCTAGCCACAGCAATCAGACAACACAAAGAAATAAAAGGCATCCAGATTAGCAAGGAAGAAGTCAAGCTGTCCCTGTTTGCAGATGACATGATATTGTAGATAAAAAACGTTAAAGAATCCACTCCAAAACTACTAGATCTAATATCTGAATTCAGCAAAGTTGCAGGATACAAAATTAATATGCAGAAATCTGTGGCATTCCTGTAAACTAACAATGAACTAGCAGAAAGAGAAATCAGGAAAAAAAACTTCACTCACAGTTGCATCAAAAAGAATAAAATACCTAGGAATAAACCTAACCAAGGAAGTGAAAGACCTATACTCTGAAAACTACAAGACACTCATGAGAGAAATCAAAGAAGATACGAATAAATGGAAACACATCCCATGCTCATGGATAGAAAGAACTAATATTGTCAAAATGGCCATCCTGCCTAAAGCAATCTACAGATTCAATGCAATCTCTAACAAAATACCAACAGCATTCTTCAACAAACTAGAGAAAATCGTTCTAAAATTCATATGGAACCACAAAAGACCCCAAATAGCCAAAGCAATCCTGAGAAGGAAGAAAAAAGCTGGGGGGATTATGCTCCACAACTTCAAGCTCTACTACAAAGCCACAGTAATCAAGACAATTTGGTACTGGCACAAGAACAGACCCATAGACCAATGGAACAGACTAGAGAGCCCTGATATAAACCCAACCATATATGGTCAATTAATATATGATAAAGGAGCCATGGACAAACAATAGGGAAATGACAGCCTCTTCAACAGCTGGTGTTGGCAAAACTGGACAGCTACATATAAGAGAATGAAACTGGATTATTGTTTAACCCCATACACAAAAGTAAACTTGAAATGGATCAAAGACCTGAATGTAAGTCATGAAACCATAAAACTCTTAGAAGACAACACAGGCAAAAATCTCCTGAATTTTTTCAGGAGCATGAGCAACTTCTTCCTGAATGCATCTCCTTGAGCAAGGGAAACAAAAGCAAAAATGAACTC